TTCTGGATGAACAATATATTTGGCTTATAAAGCACTAGATAAATACTTATGAATGCATTTGTTTTACGTAACATTTGATGACAGTTAATTGCTGCTTTGTAGACGTTGGTAACGTTTTCAGACTAAGGGTAAAGGACAAGGCGGACCGCGCGACTGCGGAACAGGTGTTGGATCGTCGTACGAGGATGATCCTGTTTAAACTGTTGTCCCATGGCGTAATCGCCAGCATAAACGGCTGCATCAGTACAGGCAAGGAGGCGAACGTCTATCACGCAACGGGTGGTGACGCGATGCATTATGCTATCAAAGTAATTTTAGTATGTCACGTTTTTATCGTAGCTAAATTCTTTTAATTTTTCAGGTTTACAAGACCAGCATTCTTGTATTTAAAGATCGAGAACGCTACGTTGCAGGCGAGTTTCGGTGTGTTCTGTAATTATGTAAATTATTCGTGTACGTGTTGTATTTTGTTTAGTTTTCGTCATGGGTATTCCGGTGGCAATCCTAGGAAAATGGTCAGCACCTGGGCGGAGAAGGAAATGCGAAATCTTTCGAGGATATACCATGCCGGACTTCCGTCTCCAAAGCCAGTGGTACTACGAGGTCATGTGCTCGTGATGGAATTTCTCGGCGCTGACGGCTGGTAATGAAAGGATGTTTAAAAACGGTTATAACATTTCACTAGAATTTGCCTTATTATTGTTGCAACACAGTAATACCGTAAATTGAATAGAATCATTGCTTTGATGTCAAACTGTTGTTGCACTCCGACGTGAGTTTCTGAGAAATTTCAGGTGTTATAGGCGTACAATCGGCTAACAGTATTTGAATGAGATGGCCCATGGTTTGAAGGGGAAACCATAATCAGAGCACCGGAGCAAAAGCTAAGTTGGCATATATTTTCCTGAGTCACTAATTCGAGTGTGTTCAAGTGTGTTTAATTCCTTGCTTTGGGTGGTTACAACTTTCAGAACTAAGGAAAATTCAGTCTTGATGCATCCATCGTCCATGTGGCAACGGTCGTGGATAGCCTCCAGGATTCAGGAGCTTTCAGTGATCGATCGTTCATTGGTTTTATTGCTTGTATACAGAATGTAGTTTAATTTGATTGCTCCTAAATTTGAAAGGCAGGCGGTGACCATGACAGATATCGTAATCTGAAGTTAAGTATACGGCTACATGAAATAGCGCGACAACTAAGCTGAGGGATCTAATGATATCTTGAAACTGACAAGTTTTTTCATAAATTAAAGACTAACCTGTTTAAGAGAAGATATTCTAAATAAAAGCTAAAACGTGGATTTGGGTTTATTGCCATATTCTGTATTCATCTTGAAGCGATCCAGTTATCTGCTCATGTCTTATACTTTTATAACAGAAGATGATGTTGACATCGACGGATTCCAACAGGTCGTACAGTCATTCTCACAGGACAGAACTTAAGTTTTCTGTTAAGGCATCTTTCCTAGCCAGCCGTCCATTCGTAAAAGATATTACGCGCAATCAGTTCTGTAGCACAACTTGGTAGATTTCGAATCATCGACAGAAGCTTGTTGATTCTCAGAGTGCTCTGAAGAACAGTCCTTCGCTGTTTAGGCGGAG